CCATGCTAAACTTGTACATTTATCATTCAGAAGTTCGAACCAGTCCATACGGTTCAAAGCATTCCTAAGGTTTTTAACATCAGCTTTATTCCAGTCAGGGATATATCTTTCTTCCTCATTAACTGGAGTATTATAAATTGTTTCAAGCCAAATCATACAGTGATTACTTTTTCCCAGCGAACCTACATCAGTAATGTTTAAGGCACAGTCAGACCTGTTGGTAATTATAACATCTAGGATGTTACCTTTATTATGGGTAGGAAAGTTTATCAGTTGTTCAAGACCCATCTCCAGACAAGCTTCCAGTATACCTTCTCCTTTTTTATCTGTGGTCAGGGTTTCCCAATTTATTCCTGGAAGATTTAAGTCACCAATAATAAATGAGTTTGGTTCAATGTTCTTCAATATTTCACACAGTTCATCTGTATTATCACTAGTACTATTAGGAGATCTATATATAAGGTAAAAATGAGCATATCCTTCACCAGTTTTTACTTTAAACTTACAGTATTGGTTAAATATTGATAGGTTGTCACAGGGTAAAATCATGAGTCCACTTTTGGCATACACAAGGAGACCTCCCCCTATACCATTAGCAGTGTCTCTTCTATCACATCTAAGTTCGTTAATTAGTTCATAGTTTGTTAAACCCAAAATTGAGTCCTGGATATCACCATGACACCAAGACTCTGTCACTAATATTATGTCCGGTTTTAAGTCTTCCGAGACACAATTTAATTCTTGAACTTTGTTTACAACACTTTGAGCATTAAGGTAGAGAATTGTTAGTTTGATTGGCTGTTTCCTTCCATTGTCCCTCCTGATCTGCCCCTGCGTTCCAGGGGCTCCCCCATAGCTGATTTAGAAGCTTGATCATAATCTTCCCTTGTATCCTCTGCTGGTTCTTCATCATTCTGGACATTGTCCTCCTCATCAGTATCTTTATTTGTCTGATCTCTGTTAGTTTTGGTTCTTTTGTCCTCTTTATGTTTCTCTGGGGATTCCTTTGATCGACTTCTTTTCCTATTTTGAGTACTCCTACCTTCATTGACATATTCAATACTCCTACGCTCTGTTCGCTGAAACCTGTCCCTCCTTTCAGAACTTTGAGTATTATGATTTCTCCTGGGGAAAAACTTCTTCACTAGTCTAATTCTTCTCTCACCACGTGTCCTACAAGTTTCCATTCAGAGTTCTGTGCAGTATCATTGTCCAGCTCAGAGTTACGCTTCAGAACTTCTCTTCTCATTCTCTCCTCCTCCTCTCTTTGTTTCTTGGTGAGGTCTGGCACGATCCTAATATCTGCATATCTAGTGGCAGGAAGGTTCCTGGCTTTTTCAAGAATTTCTTTACTTATTTCCAGACTACTAAATCCAATCAGCAAAGGTCTACAGTTTTCCTTCTTCTCTCCAATCCTTCTAGAAAACTTGACACTATCCTCTTTAAGTCTTACTCCAATCTTGTCAAGGATCTCAAGGAGACACTTGATATCCTTCTCTTGTCTAGCTTTACCATTTCTTACATCTTCATTAGCCTCAGCTATGTTATGAAAAAGTAGATTCCCCTTCCTATCTTCTCTCTCTCTTAGCTCATAAAGAAGTGAATCTTCTATTGTTTGGGGCAGTTCCTTAATATCTTTGGTATTTTTGTTACTAATATTACTCAGATCCTCAACTTTGTTTCCTACAGCCTCAATGTCTTCACGGTTACTTTTAACCTCTCTCTCTATCTCTTCCATTCTTTGGTTCATTGCTCTGACTCTCTTGTTCAGCTTCTCCGCTCCAGCTTTACAGTCTTCACATGATGATTAAATATTAATTTGAATTTTATCGTTTTTCATACACTTTTAAGATAATCTTGCAAGATTATGTTAATCTGGAGATTAAGAAAAAGAGTGGATTAAGCCTTAATCCTGATATCCACCATTCAAAAGTTCCCAGCTCTGGGTTCGAACAGGATATTGAAGGGCTCATGGCCTTATTGCCCCCCACCCCCTCCCTCGTTTAACGTCATTTGCAGGCTCATTCAACAATTATTTTATTTTCTAACCGTCCTCTACAATCTTTTAAGAAAATATCATAAGTTACCCCCAAGCAATGAAAATTTCCAACAATTTGATTTATGCAAAAAAAAATCCTGATCGGTATATAATGTTACCACCGCATGAATGGCCCAACGCGAACGTCGTCTTCGCAATAATATCCACGATTTATTTCGGAAAATCCGCGGCAAGGAGCGCTACATTTTCCCAGAAAACAGGCAAACACAAGCGGCGAAATATATCTATTCAATATTTTACATGTATGGTATTGAACTTTGGCGAACATATAATTTATTTCATTTTTCTACGTTTTTCAGATCATCATGGCGGTGACCCTTCACACTACGGTGGGAGATATAAAGCTTGAATTATTCTGTGAAGGGTGTCCTAGAACTTGTGAAAACTTTCTGGCGCTCTGCGGCACAGATTATTACAACAATTCTATTTTTACGAGAAATATTAAGGTAAAGGTGTAAATATTACGGTTTAAAATTCGGGAAAACCTTGGGTCCGTCCTAGTATATTATTTTTAGACTTCCCCTCCCCCCCCCCTCCTATCAATTTTTATACATGTCCACTTATGTTTCATAAAGGATGTTATACTTTATTTTTTTATTATTTTAGGTTAGAATAGGTTAAGACAAATTCCTGGCCGAGCGCTGCGGCTAGGATAGGCTAGGGGGCCGAGCGCCGCGGTTAGGAAAGGCCAGGGGGCCGGGCGCTGCGGCCACAATGCCAATTATATTCATGCATTTCATATGAGATCCATGTTCAAAATTTATAGGATGGGGGGGGGGGACCAAAAATTGTATATTAGGAAATACCAAAACCTTTGTTACAATTTATCAGAGGAATAACATCTTGTTATACAATCAAGCAAAGCCACATTTTATTGGATATATAAGTTTATCACTCAACGAAGAAGTTCCATTTATTCATTATCTCTCAAACTATTATTGCCCCCCCCCCCTTCATTAAAATTTGTACATGGTTAAAGTATATTAGAAATTTACATATAGAGGGGTCATATGTTATACTGTGGCCATATACATTTTAGACCAGAAACATTTTTTTTGAAGAAAGCCTTGATATTACTATAAAGATTTGTGGTACGAATTGATTCCTGAGAACATTTGTGGCTTAATCCTAGAGAACGATTTTAGACCTCCCCCCCCCTTCATTAAAGATGTTTTGGGCCCGGGCGCTGTGACCACATGTTCATCATTACACGTACATTTTTCGTTGAAATGGGGGGGGGGGGAGGTTCATGAAATCCTTCTCTAAAAAATCAAATAATTTGTGTGAGGGCCATATAGAATTAAGATCGATAGGTAAATAAAAATATTTTCTGCATAGGATTTCCCCCAATGGTTGGAACGCTTACGACTAAAATTTGCACTTTTTTAATGAATAATTGGATAACCCTGTATTTGTATTTTCCAGGGCTTCATGGTTCAAGGCGGAGATCCAACCAACACGGGTAAAGGCGGGGAAAGTATCTGGGGCGGAAAGTTTAACGACGAGATTAAAGAAGATTTAAAGCATAAAGCTCGAGGTGTGGTTTCAATGGCGAATTCAGGACCAAACACGAACGGATCTCAGTTTTATATTACATACGCTCCACAGCCCACTTTAGGTAACTTTTTTATTTTTCAAGTCATAAAATATAAAATTAGTATTTTTTCTAATTCTGTTTAGTTATTTAATATTTAAGAGGACTATTCAAGATTGTTTTACTATTTTTACTTTTACATTCAACAAAATTATCTACAATCAAGTCTAGATTTCGAAGTATTTACAAAAATAGAAATTCAATATTTTACCTGTTTGCCTTTTGTAAATAAAAAAAAAAACATTATAAGAGGGGGAGGGGGTGTACACTTCACACAAGTTGTATTTTAAAAATGTGAAATATTAAGGAACATTAAGTTGTTTAAATGGTAACAAATATTATTTTAGATTTAAAGTACACTGTGTTCGGGAAAGTGATCGACGGTTGGGACACCCTAGACGCTCTGGAGAGATTACCGGTTAATCCGAAGAATTTTAAACCTGTCAAAGGAACATTTAGCTTCATTCTAAATTATTCATTTACAAAAACGAACATTTTTCACAAATCTCTTCTACTCTTATTCATCACAAGTCTTTCTTGTTAATTATTTAATAATGGATACTAACATTTTAAACTGCGATCTCTCCTACTCTTAGCTATCACAAATCTGTCTTGTTGATTTCATCAATTTTAGCCTCTTAATGGGACTGAAGTCGAAATTACATGTTACCCTTCATGCTAAGATGACCAATGACCATACCAGATTCACAACAATACACTTAAAAGCTTTGTTTGATCAAGTATAAATTAAATATCAATGTTCATCAATTTGTAAACTGATTTTTTTTCTAATAAGTTATCTTTTCAATAATGACTTTCACATTTAACTGCAGGAAAACATAAAAGAATTATCAGAAATAAACACTTTAAAATCTAGAAAAAAGACTATGGTTGCAACATTCTTGAACAGATAAGGTTTCAAGGGTACCTTTGTAAATTGGACAATGCCATCTTTGCATGGTGATTGGTGAGTCACTTGACGTTCAGCAAAATTTCCCCTAATGCAAGGTGTAATGCAAGGAAAGTTAATTGCGGTCGTGTATACTCTGCGTACATAATTAAACCAGTTCTCTCTGGGGGGAATTTGTAAACAAGAATAGATGCGTCAGTGTTCGTTTAGTATCCGAGAAGGTTTAAAGCATTAAATTTTGACAATTTTAATAATTCACATAATAGTTTCCTATGACTAGAATATTTCATTGATTTTTTTATGTGAAAGAAGGATCCCGTGTCAGGCTGTAACATTACCGCCCAGAGACACTGCAGTACAAAAGATGTGTACACTTCTGAAATAACTTTCCTTGCATTACATCCTTGCCCTAATGTTTGTTAATGAAGATTATATTTATGCTCCCTCCTCAGTTTTCAATTTCATGCAGCGCAGACTTAAACTGATTTTGTTTCGTTAAACTAGTATTTCATTAATTTGTAAGGAAGAAACTGAATTAATAGGAGAGGAAGCGAGAATATCTAATGTAACGATCCATGCTAATCCATTGGCTCGTGGATAGATCATTGACGATAATCTATCTATTTGGGTTTGATTCGTTGAGCAGAGAAAATAGATAATGTTTGGTGATACTGTGACTTAAAAAGTCCAGTTAGACTCTGAATCCAAACAGAAAAACGGAGACAGACAGAACAAAATAAATACTTGTTCATCCTTTGTTATGTTCAATCTTGTGAAATCTATGATTCCAAGTAACCAAAAAGATATAGTGAACTATGGTCTTGTTATTCCTTTCTTTAAATCAACAAATATCACTTTTGATTTTTTAATTGTTTCTAATCTGATTATTTCTAAGAGATTCGGCAGAGTTCTAGAAATAGAGTTAATTTGATATCCAAATCCTGAGGGAAATTTCTTACTGAAAATAAGAAAGAAGACGACAATCCTTCTATCGTTTTCTGGTTACCACTGACACCGCACGAACATTGTGATTAATTTTATCAATTTTGGGACCTGAATATTGTAACATTTAATTCCAATTATTTGTTGTTAAATCTTTTCCATTAATTTCAGAGTTTAGACTAGGGATGGATTTCTTGTACAAGGAGAGAGGTGCGGGCAAACGAACTGTTAAACCCAGTAAAGTAAGTGTAAACTTCCGCCTCTTATCCAATATAACCGACCCAACAGAGAAATATTAAGTTAAGATTAATTTAACCTCTTCATGCCTATCTTGCACACATAGTATCTGTAACGATTTCAACTTTAATCTAAAACCTATTAATTCTGAAACATGATATATATGATAAATTTATAAATGTTTATATATATATTAATGATATTTATATTTTCCCTGATTACAGTTTATATTACAGGTATTTACATTTTACAATCATTGATCTCACTCTGCAAAGTTTTCGTAAACATTGTGTGCTTTTTTACTTAACCACGGGTTCCTCCAACCAATTGATTAAAAATCTGAACTTATTAACTATGTTAACGAACCCAAATTTCTGAATTTGTTAACCCCTTACCCGTGGCCAGGGGTATATATTTTTTATGGCTATGGCTAACATATATTTATATGAGCGAAGAGCTTTATTTATAGAGATAAATAAATAAATATTTTGTTTTCTTGAGATTTATATTTTTCTAGGACTCGGAGCATCTAGAAGCTATTTTGGGAGAGGAAAGCGATGATTCAGATTTTGAGGTGACGAACCATTGTAATATGATGATTGAGTGGTTAAGAATTTCCTGATTTTGAAACGCTAGAAATAAAATAAAAAAAACTATTCATTTACTATAGAAAAAAAAGAAATAAAGAACCAAATTTGCTTCAAATAAGGTAAAAAAGAATTGAATTTCAAGAAATGTATTCATTAAAGCTGGCAACTTAATTCCCATAGTGTAATCAGGCGGAAACTGTGAGGATATCATTATCTGCAATATATATATATATACTAGGATTCTTGGGCGCTTCGCGTCCATCTTCTTTTCAACGTCTGTAAGTATCTCCTCTTTGTACAATATCAAACAATTAAAAAAAAGTTCGCGGATTCGATATTTTCCCCCCTTTTTTCAAACTTTTACAAAATTCAAAATGTTTGGAGAACGTTTTGTTATTCTGAGCATCAAAAAACCTTCCCTGGGGTCACGTGAGGTCCCACAAAAAATTTGGGCGCGATCGGTTTTGCCGTTTTGACGTTAATCGGTTACAAACAGACAGACAAGCAAAGTAAATATATTTGTATAAATATACAAGATTATTTGCTAACACCTCTTTCCCCTTTTTTCATTATTTGAATTTTTGTAGGTAGAGAAACATAAAGCTACAGATGAGTCTGGAGCAGACTCCGAGGCTAGTGATGGGTCAGCAGCCTCCGACAGATCTGACCAGGAGGAGGACACAGACGATGAAGATGAAGAGGAGGTGAGGATGCACTTTTACTTTAAGGATCCGTATTCTCTGAATTTACGAGAGAAAAAAATAGATAAGATGATACTTTAAATTGTCAAAACATGTCAACATTTTAAATGAAAGAACAAATCTTTAAAAATATTAAAGAATTATTTAAATGTCTTTTTTTTGGATTATTGGGTTTTAGAATAATGTGTTTAAATGTTCCATCATATTATACGTAATATAAAATGGCCTGCCGAGTGCCTAGTGCTTGCATTTATCAACATGATATTGTTATGATGACCTGCTCGAATCACCCATCTAAATTTTATTATTTTGATGACCTGCTCGAATCCCCCAACATGATATTGTTATGTTGACCTGCTCTAATCCCCTAACATTTTGTTGTTATGATGACCTGCTCGAATCCCCCTTCCTAATATTGTTATAATGACCTGCTTGAATCACCTGACTTGATATTGTTAGGATGATCTGCTCGAATCCCCCGACATGATATTGTTAAAATTACCTGCTTGAATCCACGCCATTTTCTTTTCGACCAAAGTTGCAATGTGCGTTAGATATTTTATTTTGAATACTTAGACGATTTTTTTTACTATTGACTTGGAGGATATTTTTTTTGCTTAAAATTCAAATGCGCAGAGCACCTTTGATTTTGCAAACAAAATTGTGTTTCCTTAAGTTGTTCAGATTGACAGCAAGAATACAACTGTGGGTATCTCGACTCGGAAACTATACTGAACTGACTGAACAAAACGATTAGGGTCATTTTGGATAGAATTTCTCTCTTAGCTTTCTTTTTTACTTTCTTTAAAAATAAAATTTGGAAACTTTTTTATATTATGATCGTGTCCTCCCCCTAGTAGATCCAATCTTAAATGAGGAGTCAAAAACCCTTTGCAGATATCAGACTGTCTCAGGACCAAAGGGGAGGATACTTTGACCAGCTTGAATAAATTGTGAATCTTGTCTTGATATTTGGAGGAATCTGAATGAAATTTTGCATATGATCATTTGTGTTTATTTTAAGTAAAATTTGTAGAAAAAACAATAATTCTCTCCCTTTTTCCCCTTTTTTTCATGAATTTGAGCCAGGTTACTGAACTACCTAAAGATAAAGATAAAGTTTGAGATTAAGGATTTAAATTCAAACAGGCGGTAGGCAGTTAAAAATTTATTAAATTCTTAAGATCTTACTGTATGTAGACTGTATAACTTTATCTCCTTAGGTTTAAAAATAATAATATTTCATGATAAGTGATGATCGGAATGAGATTGTTGAATGTGATTCATGTGGAATATCTGTTCATGAAGCTTGCTATGGGATTCAGGTAGATTTTTAGCTTCCATAGTATTAAGATGAGATTGTTATAAAAAAGTTCAAAAATTTGTTGGGACTGTCGACATAATTTGAATTCACTAATGTAAGCCAGAAAAGAATATTGTTAACATCCTAAAAATTATTTTTAAATTGATTCAACTATAAGGAAAAAAGTATTAAATATCAAAAACCTGTGTTTTTAGCCTAAAATAAAACAAATTTTGGAATACCAAGAATACGTACCAAATGGAACGTATTCAACGAGAATACGTACCAAATGGAACGTATTCAACGGTTCAAGACGCATCTTTTGATACCCTTGTTGACATTTTAAGAAGAAATTTAAAATTAAAAGAACCCTCCCTTTTTTTAGATCGTTTATTACCGAATGAGTTTTTTTCTTCAATATTTTAATATCAATATTTAAATAAATTTTCTACTGTGTAATTTTTGACTGATGCTAAAAAAGGATTTAAATTAAATAAATTAAATAGTTTCACCCTTACATAAAGGGTAAACTTTTGAACTCTCTATTTGGAACTGCTCTTTAAATGTAGAGGACAGTCCCTTTAATCATGAAATACTAGGAATCTGGTAGTATCGCAAGCACATTATCTGATGCGAGTACTGAGCCTTGGTTCTGTGAACCATGTAGAGCAAACATAGTAGATCCTACGTGTCAGGTTTAATATTTTATAGTTTATTATAAACTCAACCATGTAGAGCAAACATAGTAGATCCTACATATCAGGTTTAATATTTTATAGTTTATTATAAACTAAACCATGTAGAGCAAACATAGTAGATCCTACACGTCAGGTTTAATATTTTATAGTTTATTATACACTCAACCATGTAGAGCAAACATAGTAGATCCTACATGTCAGGTCCAATATTTTATACTTTATTATAAACTCAGCCATGTAGATCTAACATGTCGGGTCCAATCTGCTTGTCTGTCGGTCTGTTTGTATGTTTGTATATTTTTATCCAATAAACGTCAAAACGATTGAACCGTTCAGGCACATTTAGCTACCCCGTACCATTTCTAGTATTTATAAACAGTATGTTCATGTGTGGTATAAATGATCAGTATCAAGGTTTATTATTAATGATCAGTATCAAGGTTTAGTATTAATGTTCAGTATCAAGGTTTAGTATTAATGTTTAGTATCAAGGTTTAGTACTAATGAACAGTATCAAGGTTTAGTATTAATGTTCAGTATCAAGATTTAGCATTAATGTTCAGTATCAAGGTTTAGTATTAATGTTCAGTATCAAGGTTTAGTATTAATGTTTAGTATCAAGGTTCAGTATTAATTCTCTCTATCGAGGTTTAGTACCAATACTCTGTATCTAGGTTTGCAATAATACTCAATTGTATCCAGGTTTACTACTAATGCTCTGTATTTAAGGTTTGTATTATGCTTTGCATCCAGGTTTTGTCGTAATGTTCTGTATCCAGGTTTATAATTAATGCTCTGTATCCAGATTTAGTATTCTGTATTCAGGTCTAGTACTATTGATCTGTATCCAGGTTTAATACTAATCCTCTGTTTACAGGTTTGGTATTAATGCTCTATATCCAGGTTTAGTACTAATGCTCTGTATCCAGGTTTAGTACTAATTCTCTGTTTATCCAGGTGTGCCCGAATACAGGAGGAATATATAAGGAAACTGATGTAGGAACCTGGATTCATCTTGTCTGTGCTCTCTATACTCCTAATATTAGTTTCTTTGATCCGGAGAGAATAACAAGGAACAGAATCATTCAACAGATCATCTAATCGATCGATTAATCAATCAACTAATCAATCAACTAAGCAATAGTATGAAATCCGAAAGCATTTTGAATTGAAGAGAAAGTAAACATTTTTTTTCAGGCATTCGAAAATATTCACAATTTTATTATAAGACATTGCATTTTTAGTAAAAAATCATATTTTCGCCATTTTTTCTCAATATTGCCCTGTAAGTTTCCGTTGTTGATTGGTGTCGAGTAGAGCGACCCTGTTTGAGATGAATTATCAGAATTGGGGTCGGCGGAGCTGTATGCTGTGTAAGGAGGAGAAACTAGCTAGGAACGCAAGCATCGTTTTATCTCTCAATTTTTTGTGAGCTTTTGAATGTAAAGATCAAATATTTTTTTTTAATGAAATTTACGTTGTACGACTCCTTATAAAACTTGATGCATGCGTGTAGAACTGGTGTGTGCGTTGAATGTGATGCTGGCATGTGTAAATCTTTCTTCCACGTGACCTGTGCTCAAGAGCAGGTAGAATTTTTTATCCAATCAATCAATCGACTGTGTTTGAAGTGTCGCCATTTTATCTAGATGAAAGATATTTATCTTTAGTTTTTAACAATATACAATATACGAAGGAAATCCGCAAATATTCTTCTTATCAACGTTATATCGTAATATTTATTTTTCTATGTAACCACATTAAAATAGAAACATTTTGCAAATCGTTTTCGCGAAAATATTAATGAATAAATCATATTCCCTTTCTTTCCCAACCTCTTCTGCCACAAAAATAGATTTTAATTAAGTTTTTATTCATAGATTACTTAAATTTTTTTTAATATCTCGAAACTGTCAATTTCATTAAACTTCCCCTTCAACGTTTTAAAAATTCCTCTCCATTCCTTAAATGTACTCTTAAGTGTCATACACATAACCGTATGTAATTATAGGGTGAGAGATACTAAACACGCTCGATAATTAAAATTATTTTACATTGTGGTTACTCTTCTCCTTTTAAACTGATGGTTTATGATTGATCGACAAACTATTGGCCTTATATTTTGTCAAAATAAAATTCTTTTGATACTGGGTAGTGGGTAGCTTATAAATGTAATATAAAATAGATTTATTTTGTTCTAGGGACTTTTGTCGGAACCAAAAGAAGACGACCACGAATCCTACTTTGCCCACTGTCGAATGCACTCGGACAAGGAGACGATGCGTCGCCGTAAACGCAACTGGTTAACCCATCTCCTGCAGTACAAGGAGAGAGCCGTCATTATCCGACGAGATTTTAGCAATCTAGATTTCTCCGCCGTCGAAGAATCATCGGTCAAACGAATTCTTAGGAAGCTGAGGTATCATTCTATACATACTTTGATTGTCTGTCTTTTTGTTTGTAACCGATTAAGGTCAAAACGGCAGATTCGAAGCGAATCGCCCTAAACGTCTAGTTCTCTAACACTCGAGTATTGAAATGTGTAAAGTTGACTGCTAATAGATTTTTTTTTCTCTCCATTTCATTTCATTTAGAGATTTATTAGTTCATAACCTTTTCTATGTGTTTTACTTTCTTTTTTTATATTTCGTGTTTAAAATTAAAATGTTCAGATTTAACACTACACAATACACATTGAGAAGGAAAGAAGTTAGGCATGAAAATCGAAATTTTGTCGACTTACGGATCGCAGTGCTATAAAATATATTTTGTCCTAAACTTTGACTTTTGTGTTTAGATATCAGCAGGCCAAGTGGAGTGTAAGTAGAGCGCGCCCCGCCTGGATTCCAACACAGAAATTGCCGCGCTCTCTTCTCACCAGCAGCTCAGCTGTTCGTAAGCTGACCAGGAAGATTGAGTTACAGGTACAAAAGGCAAATGGTTAGAATATTATTGATAACTAGTTAAAGTGCCCGGCGTTGCATGTGGAATTTAAAAAAAGAATTTTGAAGAAAAAATCTTATCTTTTGAACATGTTCAAATGTTCAAATATATGATTAAGGGGTGGGATGGTAAGCAACATGTCCAAATATATGATTAAGGGATGGGATGGTGATCAACATGTTCAAATATATGATTAAGGGGTGGGATGGTAAGCAACATGTTTAAATATATGATTAAGGGATGGGATGGTGATCAACATGTTCAAATATATGATTAAGGGGTGGGATGGTAAGCAACATGTCCAAATATATGATTGAGGTGTGGGATGGTGATCAACATGTTCAAATATATGATTCAGGGGTGGGATGGCGAGGCACTGGAGGAAGCGGAAAAGAACAGAGAAATTCTTGCTGATATTAGTAAAAGGTAATTTAATAGCTTTTAGGACTTGAAGCATTGTACATTTCTCCAAATGTTCTAAAATTTTTGGAATTTCAAGCTAAACGCAAAACATTTGCCTAGTTTAAATATGTATTGCTTTTCTCTAATCTATTTCTTAATTACTTCATTTTTATTCATTCTTGATTTTTAACATATTTTTGTAAATAGTTCATTAAGTCTTCTACCAATTCTCTGTTCCTCAACAATTAAAGGTTCAAAACAGTTCGCCGACGCGAAGAAACAAAGCTCGTTATTTTTTAATTTTTAATTTGGCAAACAAACAATTATCAATTAATTTTGTAAAACTCGTTTTAAAAGGCTGGGCAGGGGATGTTCTGGCAAAAAAACTAATACAAGTTTAATATAGATGGGGTGTTAATCCTGCATGGAATGTGGAGTATGTTGCGTACTACCATGATCGGAATAATAGAATATTGACTATGCAGGTGACAACACGGTTTTATTTAGTTAAATAATAATAACAGTCCATGTTCTCGTTTGGAGTTATTACCTGAATGATAGGTTTATTGATTGATGTTTGATTGATTGATCGTTCGACTGATTGATTGATTGAGAAATTGATTAAAAGATTGATTGATTGGTTGTTTAAAAGATTTATTAATTGATAAAAAGATTAAATAAAAGATTAATTTAAAGATTTAAGGATTAAGTAAAAGATTGAACGAAAGATTGATTGATTTTCTGGTGATCAATATGTAATAATAGTGAATATAAATGTACAGGAGAGTCTTGCATCTACTGTACTAACTAATAATGAACTGACTGATACCCAAACTGTGATCCGTGAACAATACTCAACTTTAGTTCAGGTAAAGTAATCATATCTTCGTAATATTTAAACAAACATATTCTTGCACAGTTTACTATCTCAAAAAATTTATTTGTTTAACTGGCTTAGCCAGTGCTTAGGGTCTGGATTCATTGGATCCGCAAGATTTTGGCTTCCTGGATCCGGATACGGATTACCGGATCCGCAAAAATATGCGGATCCACGGATCCGGATCCAAGGGGTAAAATATCCACCAAAAACTGCAAAAAAAAAACTTTTACTCCTAAACCCCAAATCTGAACTTTTGAAAAAAGAGAGATTATAAAATTTTCCTCATTTTTGAATGGTTCATCAAGTTTTGGGATAAAAATAAGGGAAAAAAATAAAACAAAAAATTTGAAAATTATAAAAATAAATTAGTAAATCTTAAAGAAATGACCTGGATCCGGATCCGGATCCATTTTTTTCGTTGCGGATCCAGGATCCGGATCCGCATCAAAATGGATCATAAGCACTGCCTAATATATTTAGCCAATCTATCTAAAAAATTTTAATTTCTTAAATGAAAAAAATCAAACTCACGGTCAATAAAAAGTAATATGGTCCCGAGTGAATAGTTTCAGTTTACGTTAATTAATCAAAGAACCTTTATTTTTTTTAAGATTCTTGGTCAAGACCATGTTACGTATCGATTTTCACATTTAATTTTTCAAAATGATTTTATTATATTTTATTTTTAAAATTTGTTAATACGCTAGACTGCAGACTTAATTAAAAGTGATTTTCCATTTAAATAGTGTTATGTCTGACTAACCATGTTGCAGCTCAAACCTTTGTTTTATCATGAATTTATATCGATTTTTTTGATTTGATTTTTCTTTGGCACTAAACGATATCTTCCTCATTGTTACTCAGATAAAGGATTAAAGGTTACCGTTGTGAATTGGAAATGTGGTTCCACATGAAATTTAGTTAACAGTCCTTTTCCTGCAGGAGGAGGAGGATGTGAACTTGTTAAATAAGGAGTTAAAGGAGAAGGTTAAACTCTACCAGGACTTCCTCACCAGGCAGTTCATCAACTCCAACCTCTCAAACGACGCTATCTGAGTTCCAGGGGTGTATTTTCAGAAATATCAAAAGCAAAGTTTTTCATTCTTTTTGTTCCTTTTTACCCAAAGAAATATTACTTTTCCTCTTAAAATCTATTTTTTTCCCCAATTCAGTGTGAAAAAAATCCTAACAAAGTCTATAGCAAACATATGTAACTTCTTGGGAGAAAATGTTTTCTATAAGAGGGAGGGGGGGATTGATTTTTCAGGAAAATATACAGTATACAATATACATACAACCCTGCCGAGTTCACTAAACTTTAGATTTTTTTATCAGAGTGTTAAAATTGTATTTAGTTGTGGGTTACTGACAGGTGGGAGGGAACCCTCGGCCGCTATGAGCCTCTCAGATTTGCTTTGCAGCAATGAGCATCCGCTATGCAGTATAAGTTTCATACTAAAACTTGTATTGCAAAGCGGAGGCTCATGGCGGCCGGTGGTTCCCTCTCTACCAACAGTCGATCTAGAATATTTTCATTTGTTTTTGGCTTATCCCTTTTGATCAAATATTTAGACGTATTGTGCTGTTATTTGCTAGTAATGGGACAATTTTTAAACCCCCGGGCAACGTCGGATATTATTAGTTAATTTTTTTTTTTTTGGGGGGGGGTATCATTGTTTCTCACGTGCGTTAAATCTAAAATTTGGGGAACATGTCATTTTTTGGTCTGTATTATTTTTTAGTATAGATTACTAATCATTTTGATAATTTAAACACATTTTAACTTCTGTTTTTATAAATAAATAACTTGTTTGAATTCCTTAATTACCTGCACTTGTTGATAAACTGATCTGCCAGGTTGGATCCTCTAAAGAGAAATATCCCGGAAGTAAATTCATCGAAGAGAGAATCTAAAACCACTCCAGGTTTGATTGATTTATTGATTGATGTTAATAGAAATTTTGATTGATTGATGGATTGATTGATTGATTGATTGATGTTGATGAAATTTATAAACAAATATATAACTGACGGGCTAGTATGGTAACATGTGCTGTTATCTTGATTATCCAAACTAAAACTTGTAACTGAGAGTTAATCTAATGAGTTGATGGGATTCAATACTATTTGATAACATTCGATCTGATCCTAATTTTTGGTCCCGTCCTTACATAGCTAAATTCTTCTAGACCCTCCAAACGCCCCCGCCTCTTTATAAAAAAAGAAAATGACTGGATCATGATTGACATGTGAATCCGGCTTCTTCTATCTATCTATTTACTATAGGCGGAAGGAAAGCTGGTTTAGACAGGAAGCAAGCCAAACCTGGAAAACCAAGCACTGTGATAAGGAATCTAATTCATTTTACTATTTCATATTTATAAGAAATTAAATGTTGAATTATTTATTTGATTCAACTGTCGATATAATTTCAAGTGATCTTCCATCTAAAGAGTTACAACCCGATTCACAAGGGTACGTTTCAAACCTTTGTTCAAATAGCAAACAAAGACATTTCTGTCAATTTCATTTAATAATTTTGTTGTAAAAACGGATCTGGATCCAAATCCGGACCCAGGTCATTTTTTTAAGATTGGCTGAATTATTTTAAAAAAGCAGAATTTTAATGTTTTTTTCTTATTTTTTCGCTTATTTTTATGCTGAAACTTAATCAATTCTGAAATCAGGAAATTTTTAGAATCTTGCTATTTCTAATAGTTCAGACTTGGGTTTAGAGTTTTGCAGTTTTTGGTTGATATTTTGCCCCTTGGATCCGGATCCGTGGATCCGCATATGTTCGCGGATCCGGATCCAGGAAGCCAAAATCTTGCGGATCCAAGAGATCCGGATTCTAAGCACTGCTTGTAAATAAATTAAATGTAGTTGATTTGAAAAAAGTTTAATAATCCCTTAAATATCTGAAATGAAAGGACTTGTTATTAGTTCTCCCACACTGGGCCTAAATTCGTGTAAACTCTGCGGGAAGAACAAAGACCAGCATCTTCTAGCTCACTGTGATGTTTGCAGGTAAGAATAACGTTAATCCCAGCATTTATTTTGTCAAAGAAATATTCTTATCCTTCAAAGATAAGAGAGTATCAATTGAAACACAGAATATGCGATATTTTGCACAAGTACACGACCAATCAGTAGACAATAGACATCTGTATTTAGGGATGTTTAAGGATCCTTTGGAAGTTTAACTTGTATTACTTGAAGTTTTGAATCAAGCGCTTCACTGATAGGGACATGTTTGGATGTGAAATACAAAATCCTCAAAAATAATGGGCTTGTGGGGGATTTTTGGTCTTTATTTAGAATTTTTCTATTTATTGCCCGTTTTTCACTCTTATAATGATAAACTCTTCAAAAAAAAATAATGTCTTCTATCAACTGAATTGATTTTTAGGTAGTTAACAGCACTTAAACTGACACATTTATTCTTTTCGCATGAGTTTTTTCAAAATATGTTGCGATAAAATAAGGATATAAAATCCCTTAATCAATTTCAGTAATTACTATTTAACAGAGGTCTTCCTTCTTGAGCATATAGATATCTACCGATTAATCTGTGTAGCCCCACCCCAAATATGTATCTAATATAAGTAGTCTGAAATTCATAGAACTGTAATATAAAAAATTGCAGTATTCTCCCTATGAAGAAGGGAGGTAATATTATTGTATTTGAAGAGTATTTATTATGAATTAGTATGAATTTTAGTAGGGCTAACCTACTTTCAATTTAAAAACAAAGCTTTAAAAAAGCAAAAAAAAACTTCCAAAAAATACAATAAAACCCTCTGGGCTGGTTAAAAAAACTGGGGTTTTTTCCAAGCCTGAATGAGTGTGATGTTTCCTGTCGGTAAGGCTCCTGGGCCTCATTCTAAGGAAGCTGGAATCTTGTCAACCATCTTCTCAGTATGAATATAACGCGTGAATGGATGAATGTGCTGCCAGATTACAACCCCTGGAAGATCAATATAAACCCATACACCACCAAACTTTCGTTTTAGAATATTCCGAGATTTGATCTTAAAAACCCGATCATATCCTGGGGACATAAAAATCTTTATTAAAAAAAAGATACAATAGTGTCGCATTGTAATGCTAGTCAGCTTTATGGCATGGCTTCTGTAAATACATCTAAGATGTAAAAATCCGATTGGTTAGAAGTGTTCTCTATCTGTAGAATGCACAACTTCAAAGTAGAGAATAGATTTCGATGTTTTTTACATCATCATCAGTCCTAGGACAGATTCGAATAATAAAATATATAGATATTTTATAAGCAATCATTAAAAAAAATAGTGGAATTAAAAAATTAAGTATTTTTGAGAAAAAAATTNGTAAATATAGAATTACAGGGGATACAGACTACAGAGTAAATATAGAATTACAGGGGATACAGACTACAGAGTAAATATAGAATTACAGGGGATACAGACTACAGAGTAAATATAGAATTACAGGGGATACAGACTACAGAGTAAATATAGAATTACAGGGGATACAGACTACAGAGTAAATATAGAATTACAGGGGATACAGACTACAGAGTAAATATAGAATTACAGGGGATACAGACTACAGAGTAAATATAGAATTACAGGGGATACAGACTACAGAGTAAATATAGAATTACAGGGGATACAGACTACAGAGTAAATATAGAATTACAGGGGATACAGACTACAGAGTAAATATAGAATTACAGGGGATACAGACTACAGAGTAAATATAGAATTACAGGGGATTCAGACTACAGAGTAAACAGTAAACAGGGGATACAGAGTAAACATGTCTTTACCTTACGGATAACAAAGGCTAAAAAAAATCAAGTGTTTATTAATTCCACGGGCAACGCTGGTCACTTCAGCAAGTAATAATAATAATAATGATTATAAAAATTATTTAGGATCCCTCCGAACCTTTTTCTTACGAGATACAGAATATCGATGTCGAAGCTCCACGGGCATCCAGGTAATCAATAACCATATATGGTCAACACCATTAAAGTCTGTCTGTCGCTTAAATGAATTATATTGTTATGATGGTTGCAGTGCCTAGGATCCATTTAATTTTGATGCAGATCCGGATCCGGATGCGGATCCGCACTGGAAAAAAACGGATCCGGATCAAGGTTATTTCCATAAATTTTTTTAACAAAGCAGAATTTTCAATTTTTTAGTATTATTTTTTTCGCTTATTTTTTGCTAAAAGATGAACCATTCAGAAATCAGGAAATTTTTATAATCTCGCCTTTCTCAATATTTCAAATTTAGGGTTTGTGATTTATTTATTTTTTTGCAGTTTTTTGTTGATATTTTGCACTTTGGATCCGGATCCGTGGATCCGCATATTTTTTCGGATTCAGATCTGGATTCAAGACCAAAATCTTACGGATCCGAATCCTAAGCACGGATGGTTGGTAGAAACCAAATTTAACCTGAAGAATTTCTTTTATTTTCTCCCTGGGACTGTGTTTTTATTTCTGCATTTTTTGCCTGCCTTTACAAATATATTTTGGGATTAAAACTGTTAAGCTGAAAAATCTCGTTTATATTTAATATCGTTTTTGTTAAGGAAACGTCGAGGAAATTTCCCCAGTGGTGCTGAGAGTGATGTAGAAATAGTTTCCCCCCCTCCTCCTCCTCCGTTGAAATCTCCTCCCAATAAGAAAGCTCGGGAGCTAAATGCGAGTATATCTAAGAAACTATCGAAAACAAAACCTAAAGTATGTTTGCCAAGGATCACAGATAGGAATTCAAGGTTTGTAAAAACTTTCTTTATTAATTTTGTAATTTGTATCAAGAAATAAATATGAGGTTCAAAAAACAGACCTCACCCCCCCCCCCACCTTTCAAATTATTGGTTGGGTTTTGTGCTTTCTAATTAAGTATAATTTTAAATGCTAATTTTTGTTTATGATAGGGGAGAACCAAAATATCCTTAATTTACTAATCTACCTAAAATAAGATTATTTAATTTTTACTCTACTTGACTTCAACGAAATATAACCGCTAATTAGGGAAGTTTAAAACTTTAAGTTATTGAAAGATGACAGTGTATCACGTCCTTCAAAATATTATTTGAAAATTTTGGATTTAAATATTTTATTGCAGCCCTGTGAATTTAGATATTTAGCTTGTCTTTTCCTAGTTTTTTCCCTGGTCTGTCCCCCCTCCCTCGACCATCCCTGGAAAACCCCAACTTACCCTGATTATTGCTTTTTCAAGCTAGGCTAGGTTAAAAAAAGGGTGGGGTCCACCCCATTATTAATAAAAAAATTACCAAATATTGTATTACAGTGACACCTCTCCTGCTACTAGTAGAGATCTGAATACTGAAGTTGATGAAGAAATTCAGATTATAGAAACCATTAGTTCTCCTCCTCTACCCTCCGCCTCAAGGTAGGCTTTCAACCAGTGCCAAGGATCCGTTGGATCCGCAACATTTTGGCTTCCTGGATCCGGATCCGCAAAAATATACGGATACCACTGATCGGATCCAGCGGGCGAAATATCAACCAAAAAATGGAAACAAAACTATTTTGTTCTCAAAACCCAAATCTGGACCGTTGCAAAAAAAAAGACGTATCATCAAAATTTTCCTTATCTCTTCATGGTTCATCAAGTTTTGATAAAAAATAAGAACTCTAAAGAAGCTACCTGCTACTTCTAAGAAGTAGCTAATTCTGGAAAGTTTCTAGATGAATTTTTTAAGAAATATTTTCCGTATGTCACACTCAATTCTGTGAAGGTTTTAGAGAGTAAATATTTTTAACTTGGATCAGGAAGGTTCTGTCCTTCATTACCAACCGTTTTTAATATTTATGAATTTTCAATGGGATTGTGAGCGCAATTTTAAATGACTTGACCTCCATCGATTCACAATAGTACCATTGAAACCTTGGCCGGGTCAACAATATGGAAGATATTGTCTTTTTTCTAGGTTTAGAAGTGTTCAATTCTTATAATTTCCTGGAGTAGAAATGAACAAGTCACTTTTATAAGTTTTATAAGTTTCTAAAATTATAAAGTTTGATTTCTTATTCATACTTGATCAGACATGGAGACATGTTTAGGGTCAAATAAAATTATGCTTACAGTCACTTTAAAAGCTTCAGAAAAGGTTGTGACAACGCCATATCAATTATCCAAATTGAAATAATTGAAAACTTTAATTCTAGGGTTCCTCCTACCACACCCCTCTCCAACCGATCTGCTCCGCCCCTGGTATCCCCTGAGTCTCGTTCTCCTGGGTCTCGAGGAGGCAGGGGGAGGATAGAGAAGAGAACAACACGAAGATCTGAACAGAAAACACGGGCAGATAATATATCCATTAAGGTAATACTGCACTTACAGTCAAACTCTTGAAAATGTGCAATATGGAGACCATGTTCAAGCAATTCTTTTTTATTTTTATTTTTTCATATTGAGAATAGTTTTAACAATAGCTTTAAAAACAAATTATTAAGAAAAATGAGTCGGTTTTATATGTTTTTTATGATAGTCGTCTTCATATTCAGAAGTTTTAATGGTCTAAACACTCCCCATCTCACTTCTTCCTTATTCAGATATCATTGTGTTTACTTTTTTCGTATTTAAGTGTTATATAGAGGGTTGACTTTCTCTTAGCAACAATGAAGTTTATAAATCGATTCGTAGCTTACCATATCTTGACAGTATCTGAGAAGGACTTGAAGAAGGGATGAAATAACGCTATTTACTCAGAAGTTTAAGCCTACTTTTGAATTTTGTCTTAATTTAATTCTGTTTTATTTAATATCCTCTAAACCAAAATATGGTTGGTACTAAAACGTCAAAATGTTATTGCCACCCTTTGTTTATACTTGGTATCTATTTGACATCTTATATTTAAACAAAGACAATTGCTTTCGAAACATTACATGTAAATATAAAAGCCCCTCTGATTCCTAAAAACCTTTCATTTTGCAGGTATCTCAACCGACGGACTCAGTGCTCTTAAACGGCGATGAACCGCTGCTGAAAAATGGTGTGGGTTCTAGCCTTCTGCCGAAAAAGCTTTTCACGGTGAGAGAAATTATTTCTAAACCTTTTTCTTTAAGGATTTCTGAGTATTAAATTTCGTTCAAGGAATTTTTTTCGGAATTTATAGTTGTTTTGTGAAAACTATAATCAATTTGTTAAGAGCAAACCAACAGTGAAAGAGTTGCCAGAACATATCGAGAAGAGGGAATTTAAGGTACTTTGCAGTTTAAAGTTTACAGTTTACAGTTTACAGTTTACAGTTTACAGTTTACAGTTTACAGTTTACAGTTTACAGTTTACAGTTTACAGTTTACAGTTTACAGTTTACAGTTTACAGTTTACAGTTTACAGTTTACAGTTTACAGTTTACAGTTTAAAGTTTACAGTTTACAGTTTACAGTTTACAGTTTACAGTTTACAGTTTACAGTTTACAGTTTACAGTTTACAGTTTACAGTTTACAGTTACTGAAACCATAGAAAGGGTTCAATTTGACCTTGGAGACACAAGAACAGTAGTTGGACAAGTCCTTGCTATTTCAATATACTAATCTCTATTCATAAACGCCCGTTTTTAGCTTAATGCTTTGTTATTTTTATCTCCTTTGTTCTTTTGATATCAATTTTATTCCGAAACTACCTTGTCAACCAAATCAAGCTCAGTTGAAATTAACAACGCTTTGGAGTCTTTTCGTCAAAATTCTGGAATAAAAGACAATAAAATAAATTCATATTTTTCTTTCGTCCTGAGTTCTGGATATGATATCTTTTTATTAGTGCTTAGTACCCGGATCCGGCATTATTTTGGCTTCCTGGATCCGGATCTGCAAGAATGTGCGGATCTACGGATCCGGCTCCAAGGGGCAAAATATCAACCAAACCCAAATATAGAATTTGTAAACTAATAATAGTTTGACAAAAATTTCTAAATTTCTGAATGGTTTACAAGTTTCAGAAAAAAACAAGCGCAAAAAATGTTTGAACTTTTGAATTTTTTATTTGTTAAAAAATCAGTAAATCTTGAAGAAATGTTCAGGACTTGGGTCCGGATCCACATCAAAATGAAATGGATCCTAAGCACTGCTTTTATTTTAGGATTGGTTGGGAAAGAAACTGAGCCCTGAGAAAACTCATAGAAATGTAGTTAACGGGTTGAAAGATCTTAGGAAAGATAAATATCTATTTTTTAGAATACAAAGAATTATTTCGAATCTTGTAATCTTTAGATTTTCTTAAAAACATTTGTAAAGTATAATGCTTTCAAAATTATCAGTATCAGTTAGTTCCTTTTTAGTCATTCAATGGAGCCTTCTTTACATTGTAATGTTCATTTAGGAACAAGCAATTCATCGATTCATTTTATAATCTGAAATGATATGATTTGATTTGGCTTATGGGGCTGAAGATATAATTGTGTCTGATTCACAACAAAAGTACCCTTCAAACCAACATTAAACAAAACAAAATATTCTGTCTAAAAATTGATTATTTTCAATTGCGGGGGTTTCTACAAAAGTTTTAATGCAAAAGAATGAAGAATAAAAATGTAAGAATTCTTAACAAAAATGATATTGCTAGAATAAAGGATTAAATCGCTGTGAATTGTACATGTCATTCTGTAACTTGGTTCTTACTTGAAATAAAGTGAATCTGAAGAAATATTGTTATTTATCTGTTGGTTGTCCAGTGACGAGGTCTCCAGTGATATCAACGCCGAGGTTAATCCAAGCTTTATATCAGTCAGACTTCAAGACTCGCCCTCCTTCTCAGGTAGATCGTGACACGGCTGGTCAGAGATTCCAAATATCTGATTTCAAATATCACCCATAGTTCTCAAAGTTTTGTGATTTTATCTATTAAAATTCGAAAATCTGCGACTTGTTGCATTTTTATATCATTATTATTCGAAAATACTCCAAGATAAAATTTATCAACAAAAGATATTATTTCCTAGAAATAAATACTGTCGTTTAAATCAAATTTAATATTGAATTTTATATTTTTATTTATCAGAAATATGTTTGAAATCAAAGTCACTTTTATAAGTTTTATAAGTTTCTAAAATTATNATTTGCTGAATTGTGAATAAATAAGAAGTTGTAGGAGAAGATCAAAAAGAATGAAAAAAAGTTGCCTTTAGATGTCCAATTTTGATTTTTTTTTTCTAAATCATCAAAAGTCATTTTGCCACTCCCGGAAGGGAAGGGGGACACCCCTGAACTAACAATAATTTAAATATGATTTGCAGGATCTGAGGCCTCAGGCCGGACCCCTGAGGAATCTGACGCTAAAAGAGAACGCAAACGACAGAAGAAAGAGGAAAGGGTGAAGAGGAGAGAGGAGAAAAGAAAATTAAAAGCCTTGATGTCCGTTAATATTGTCAGTGGTATGGGGAACTTACCTTAATACTTTGAACAGCCTGGTCTCATAACAGTAATATTTGTTTAATCAGTACTTCTGATATATTTTTTTACCGAACTTTGGTAAATGGTACAATTTTCCTAATTTGTCTCGGAAGATGTAAAGCTATGTGATCCTCTGAGCCCTTGTTTGAACTCTGCTCAAACTGTATCTAATGTCACAATTTTAATCTCCCTTTTTCCGAAAATTACAAAAATCTTATGTTGCAAATTGCACAATGTCGTCTTTTCTGTTTAGATGACCCGGATATTGAGGAGAACGATGATTCCTGTGTGATCAGGATAGCTCCAAAGCCCATAAAGATTAAGATAAAGATGCCCCCGGCAGATCCACAAACTCCCAATCCCTCGTCTGTCTATATGCACCCAAAGAAGAAGATGGTACAAATGGACTCCTTGGCAAATGTCCACGTGGTCAATGGCGGTGGCCATTTTAAACAAAGCGGAGAACCTTTAGTCCAATCAGAACTCAGAGGAGTTGAATCTTTAAACCAATCAGAAAACAGATCAAGCCAATCGGCGCACGTAGCCTCGCGGACTGATCTCAGTTTCCCGCCAGATTTTGACCAATCAGAGTCCAGTATGTCCGGGGTTCAATCTGAACATAGTTGGGGGACAAATGAAAATGGCGAAGGAAGATCAAGAAGATCTCGGACACCTGGAATTGTGAAGAAAGGTCGGGATAAGAGAACTAAATGTGATGTATGTCTTGGAGAAGGAGATAATTCAAATCTGGTTAGGTAAGCTTTTCAATAACTTAATGCCCAAAACTTTGAAAAAAAAAGACTTTAGTAAAATGCTTTAGATTGGTTTTTCTCTTTTGACTACAAATTTTGAATATTAAATTAATGTCATGTCTCACAAAAACCTTATTAAAAAAAAATTTAAAAGTACTTTGACCGTTAATTGGTCATATCAGTTATCTCATTTAGTTTTCTACATATGATAAAAGTTATGAATTTAGCATGAAATGTCTGAAAATTGACTTACGACATGAAATGTTAAAAATAAATGTGAATTTAGCATGAAATGTCTGAAAATTGACTTATGACATGAAATGTTAAAAATAAATATGAATTTAGCATGAAATGTCTGAATATTGACTTATGACATGAAATATTAAAAATAATCATTAATTTAGCATGATATGTGTAAAGTTACTTACGACATGAAATGTAAAGAAAATTTGAATTTAGCATGAAATGTCTGAAAATTGAATTGTGACATAAAATGTTATAAATAAATATGAATTTAGCATGAAATGTCTGAAAACTGACTTATGACATGAAATGTTAAAAATAAATATGAATTTAACATGAAATGTCTGAAAAATGAAATGTTTAAAATAAATATTAGCCTATGTCAAAATCAGTCAACTTTTGGTACAGATAAGAGTGGTCGCTCATGTGGTGCCCAAGGACAGGTTTGTTAAACAAAATATTTTTATTTTTTATTTTTGACGAGCTTAAGGGTACCTGCTCGGGGCTTTAAGTTTAAAAAACGGCCGTTTTTTTGCGATTTTTACAATTTTTTAAAGCCTGAGCAGGGACCTTAGACAACAAGCAATCTTCATTTTTTTTCTTCCTCTGTTATCTACATGATGTATACTAACATATAAAAAACCACTCTTCTTGATATCTAAACCCTATTATTAAAAATAAAATATTGAAAATGTAGATTTTCAAAAAAAACACGAAAATGGAAATTTTGAGGTTTGATCTTTTAGAAGACAACTCTTCAATAAATATAAAAAATTTCCTTCAGTGATTAAAAACAGAGTCATCAGGGTTGAGTCCTAACTTCTACTCAATAGCATCTTCAGATATGCCCTTAAGAGCTGCAGCTTTATAGTCAGTCTTCTTTCGACCCTTACGGTTTCGTTTGTAGACATTGGAAAACAGAAATTTGTCCTGGCGTTTTTCTTCTGATCTTGCTGTGTCAATCAGCTCTTGCACAAGCTTTATAGCTCTTTCAGATGCATCATTTACTACTGCTAAATTCTTGATGAAAGCAGTAAACTCACAGTAGAAATCATGGGTATTCCAGAACTCAGGAGNGAAGAAAAAAAATGAAGATTGCTTGTTGTCTAAGGTCCCTGCTCAGGCTTTAAAAAATTGTAAAAATCGCAAAAAAACGGCCGTTTTTTAAACTTAAAGCCCCGAGCAGGTACCCTTAAGCTCGTCAAAAATAAAAAATAAAAATATTTTGTTTAACAAACCTGTCCTTGGGCACCACATGAGCGACCACTCTTATCTGTACCAAAAGTTGACTGATTTTGACATAGGCTAATAAATATAGATTTGCTTAAAAAGTCTGAAAATTGACTTATGATATGAAATGTTTAAAATAAATAAAAATTTAGCATGAACTGTCTGAAAATTGACTTATGATATGAAACGTTTAAAACTAATATAAATTAAGCATGAAATATCTGAAAATTGCCTTATGATATGAAATGTAAAAAAAAAAAAAAAATAGCATGAACTGTCTGAAAATTGACTCATGATATGAAACGTTTAAAACTAATATAAATTAAGCATTAAATGTCTGAAAATTGACTTATGACATGAAATATTAAAAATAATCATTAATTTAGCATGATCTGTGTAAAGTTACTTACGACATGAAATGTAAAGAAAATTTGAATTTAGCATGAAATGTCTGAAAATTGAATTGTGACATGAAATGTTATAGATATATATGAATTTAGCATGAAATGTCTGAAAATTGACTTATGACATGAAATGTTAAAAATAAATATGAATTTAGTACGAAATGTCTGAAAAAAATGTCTGATGAAATGTTAAAAATAAATATAAATTTAGCACGAAATGTCTGAAAATTGACTTATGACATGAAATATTAAAAATAATCATTAATTTAGCATGATATGTGTAAAGTTACTTACGACGTGAAATGTAAAAAAAAAAATTGAATTTAGCATGAAATGTCTGAAAAATGACTTATGACATGAAATGTTAAAAATAAATATGAATTTAGCATGAAATGTCTGAAAATTGACTTACGACATGAAATGTTAATAATAAATGTGAGAAAAAGATTATCTGAAATTTTAAATATTGAATTTTAAATTAATGTCATGTCTGACAAAAACCTTATTTAAAAAAATAATTTAAAAGTACTTTGACCGTTATTTGGTCATATCAGTTATCTCATTTAGTTTTCTACATATGATAAAAAATATGAATTAAGCATGAAATGTCTGAAAACTGACTTATGACATGAAATGTTAAAAATAAATATGAATTTAGCATGAAATGCCTGAAAAGTGACTTATGACATGAGATGTTAAAAATAAATATAAATTTAGCATAAAATGTCTGAAAAGTGACTTATGACATGAAATGTTAAAAATAAATATAAATTTAGCATGAAATGTCTGAAAATTGACTTATGACATGAAATGTTAAAAATAAATATAAAGTTAGCCTCAAATGTCTGAAAAATGACCTATGACATGAAATGCTAAAAATAAATTTGAATTTAGTACGAAATGTCTGAAAATTTACTTATGAGATGAAATGCTAAAAATAAATATGAATTTAGTACGAAATGTCTGAAAAGTGACTTATGAGATGAAATGTTAAAAATAAATATAAATTTAGCTTCAAATGTCTGAAAAATGACTTATGACATGAAATGCTGAAAATAAATATGAATTTAGTACGAAATGTCTGAAAATTGACTTATGACATGAAATGTTAAAAAAAATCGTATCATTTTAATTTTAAGTTTGTGTGTTTAGATGTGATGAATGTGCCAAATGTTACCATTTCTACTGTCTTAATCCTCCAGTTAAGAAAACACCTAAGGAACACAATCAATCAATCAATCATTTTCTTACATGAAATTGCCATGTTTTGCCTTCGGTCTAAATCATTCTTTTTCAATATTCAAAATACCAGGGGTGTGCGATCTTAAAATGCCCGAGGGTGGGAAATACAACATTTGATCATTAAAAGACAAGTTTTTATCCTTTTTGATATTTTTTTATTGCTGAATTGTATCCATTGTGATACTATTTTATCGCCGAATTTTATCTTTTTTGATACTTTTTTATCGCTGAATTTGTATTTTGTAATTTCCGGGATAAGGTTTTATGTTAATTTTAAATTTTGTACAAGTCAATTCTGTAGAGAAACCACAATTGAAAATGAGAAGTTTTTAAAATTATTACCATTAATATCTAATAATTCAATCTTGATCTGGAAAAGCTATTAAGAGAACTGTTGTGAACTGGGCGTCGGGCAATTTTTGCAAGGAGGTCACTTAAATATTTGCAAGGAGGTCACTTAAATATTTGCAAGGAGGTCACTTAAATATTTGCAAGGAGGCCACTTAAATCTTTGCAAGGAGGCCACTTAAATATTTGCAAGGAGGCCACTTAAATATTTGCAAGGAGGCCACTTAAATATTTGCAAGGAGGCCACTTAAATATTTGCAAGGAGGGCTACTTAAATATTTGCAAGGAGGGCTACTTAAATATTTGCAAGGAGGGCTACTTAAATATTTGCAAGGAGGGTCACTTAAATATTTGCAAGGAGGGCCACTTAAATATTTGCAAGGAGGGATACTTAAAAAAAAACTATGCTTAAAAAGATAAATATATTGCAAAGTTTAATAGAAGGAAACTACTTCAAAGTAATTCATTTATTTTTAAAATCTTAAAACTCTCAAGTTTTATCTTTTTTTTCTTGAAACTATCTTAAGCTATTAACAACACGATATAGCAGCCTATATACTAAAGTTAAGAAAGACAAACTGGCTAGATGCTGGCCTAGTCTGTCAACTTTGCTACAACCCCATTTTTCCGGAGCGCCTAGCAGAGGCTTTTATTTTCCTGAAAAATCACCCTCCCCCTTTCTTTTTAAAATAATTTTTTATTCAAGATGTTGGTATGGTTGCACAATGCACATAGCGACAACATTTTGTTAAGCGTGTTGATTGCTGGATTAGGAAAATAAACAAATCTTTGGGTAAAATAAACAAGTAAACAAATCTTTGGGTAAAAAGTATGAAAAGCTATGAAAAATCGCTTCTTGAAGATAAACACATATTGTTTGTAATATCTGAATGGTTTGTTGGGAATTAAATTGATTTTTTACGATCCGAGTTGAATGTCTTCAGCATGAGTCGTTTTTAACAATTTTCTCCTTATTGAGGCAAAAGATAAAAGTAAGATTAGCAGTGATCAAAAGCGCTTTTTTCGCCTTTCATTTTTCGCGAACACTCCCTTTGAAAATAAACACACCTGACGGCCTCCTGTGATAATTTGTGGATAGGTGACAAGGTTAAACTCGGATCCTAACTTCATCTTCAACTTATCCTTTATCAATAGTAAATGTTTGATTATCTATTTACTGTTTAATTGATTGGGCGTTAAAGGTTGTTGGTTGGGGCTGGTCCTGTTCCGACTGTGCTCCTTCAGACGTGGATAAAAGTTGGCATCTATAGCACAGGCAGGGCAAATTTATCATTGGAGAGCTTCTCCCCCCCCCCTGCCCCCCCCTACAGTTGTCGGACTCATAAAAATGTGTAATAGAAATCCAAGTATAAACTCAATTTATGATTTTTTCGAGTCCAGTTAACACATGTGTACAGAAAAGCACAAGTAAGTGAGAGCGGTAAAATCCAAGCCCAAGGCGTAACGGCACTTCAAATTTGACCCTGTCTTAAAAATTGATGAGACTGTTCATAAGCAGGCTGAATCTATGTGATAGACCCATTACTCCTATTAAGAGTATTTTTAAGCTGCTGTTTAAATAATTTGCCTTGTAACAACACCAGATTAACATAAGGTTGCCCAAGTTTTACCTTCTCGTTTTAAGAAAACTGTTATACTTTTATGGGTCTTACTGTATTCATTTTCATATCTTCTTTTAGTCTGCTCAAGAGCTTGANATTGAAGAATAAAAATACCTGGACGGATTGAAGGATAGAGAAGGATTGAAGAATAAAAATACCTGGACGGATTGAAGGATAGAGAAGGATTGAAGCATAAAAATACCTGGACGGGTTGAAGGATAGAGAAGGATTGAAGAATAAAAATACCTGGACGGATTGAAGTATAGAGAAGGATTGAAGCATAAAAATACCTGGACGGGTTGAAGGAAAGAGAAGGATTGAAGAATAAAAATACCTGGACGGATTGAAGGACAGCGAAGGATTGAAGAATAAAAATACCTGGACGGATTGAAGGATAGAGAAGGATTGAAGATTCAGTTTCTATAATGTAACGTGTACCTAGTCAGTACTTAGTAAACCATTATGTTGAAATTTATTACTCTACTGAATTTAAATCTTAACTTTTTAAATGCAAAAAGAATTTTTTTTGCATGAATGTAATTGTTCATGTACTCACGTAATATTTCTGAGTACAGATCCAAGAATTACCTGTACTGTATTTACGTAGATCATTAAATAGAATTGTACTGATGTGCTCTGTACAAGTGTACTGCTGTAAAATTGTTCCACAATCCTACTTACTCCTCTTGTAGAAACTTTGGCAGCTTAGATCGTCAGATCAATTTTAAGAAATGGATGCTTTCTGTGCTATTAAATCCTTCCTAATTGTTATTGATTATATTTTTTGTTTGTATAAAATCTCATTTCAAAAAGTATTTCAAAAAAAATTCAAATTGTAAATTATTTAAAACTTAGGTTATTTTCCATCATTGCAATTCCAAGGTGATTTTTTTGCAGGAAAAAAGAATTCAATTGTTTGTGTGAAGTCCTGGTTTTTAAAAGTGTCAATTGATTAAAAGATCCACTTCGACATTTGTAAAATACCTAGATTTCAAAATTTGCAATCTCAAATCATAAATTTCTTGGAAAACTAAGTTGTACATGCAAAATATTGGTGTTCCGTTTTACTTTGTACTGTACTGTACTGTACTGTACTTTACTGTACTATACTGTACTGTACTGTACTGTACTGTACTATTATAACCTGATCTTAAAATGATATTTATACAGATAGAAAAATTACAAAGTTTTTAAAACTGTAATTTCAGAATAAGCGTGTCAATTTTTTATTAATATTCTAAATCGCATTCCACGTATTTTATTTTTTATTGAATATAGTATTAAGCCTTAATATTGTAGTTATCATTGTTATCAGATATTGTATTATTGTATTAATCATTTTTATTTCAGATATTGTAAGATAAAAAATGGTGAAATGAAGAAGGTTATTTACAGGGACTGAAACCGTAATTTCAAGTGACCCTTCATCTAAGGATGACAATGTCCAATTTACAACGATATTCTTGAAAAAATATGGCAAATACCGGTGTTTTTCTGATGCAAAAGAATTATTTCCGTGAGTTCCACCATTGCATCTTAAAAACAGGAAATGTGCAAGTACTTTAATTTTGACCTTGAAACATAATTCATACTTGCTCAACAAAGGTTTGGCCATTGCCATTTCTGCATGGCGGGTTACTTGAAATTACCATAAGGTCTAAGACAATTTTAAAGTCGTCAATAAATTTACATTATTCCGGGTTATTTAGAATATCACGATAGCAAACATTTTTCAGTGGTTTCTTATTATCCATTCTGTACAACGAGGGAGGGAACCCCCGGACGCCATGAGCCTCTTCCACGCAGACACGAGCCTCCCAGATTTCTAGGTAGACCGAGCCTCCATAATGCAGACAGTGCCTCCACTATGTAGTGAACGAGCCTCTACCATACAGAACAGGTTTTTTTAAATCTTGGTTTGTATGTGTAAAGAAACATGTTAACAATTTCTTTGACATAGTGGTATGAGAGGTTACTCGAAGATGAGATTTACTCCTCAATTATTATAAATAGTTCCTAATTATGATTATAAATGATAAATATTTAGAGAAAAAAAATTTGAATTAAATTTCAATTAATCTTTTATAATCTTAAAAAGAGAATGCCTGTGAAGGTTCCCCATTATGGGGACGAGCACCGCATATTCCTTCAGGGGATCATGTGTAAAGGAGTTCTCAACTACAAGGTTAAATATAGTACAGGGTGTCCCATTAAATATGGGAATTAAGTGAAGACAATCGAGATCGTCTTTGTAAATATTTTCTTATTTAGTATTTGGATGCCTATTAGGAAAGATGTAATTCATTTGTTTTTCGTCTTTAAAAGTTGTGTTTTTTCAATTTTTTTAATGTTTTTATTGCACATATTTTTAAGTAGTAAACTGAACAAAATGAACAAAGATTAATTGTCCTTCACTGTTCGTCTTGAAGAAATTTTAAGGGCAAATCATACGGAGAATAACAAAACATCTTATTTGAGCTTTTTCATTGTGACTTCCAAAATGTCTTTTGAAAATAGGTATTAAAATGTTAAGGCTTTAAAAAAGACTCTATCAAAGTTCCTATGATTATTAGGACACCCTGTAGTTTAGATGTCGGAGCTTTTGGATCCCTCCAGACAGCGCAAATGCGCTTTTTTGTAGTTTTACAGAATAAGTTAATTTTTTCTGGATATCCACAATATATCACACATGACCCAACATCAATTATACTTTTAAAGAAAATAGAAATTTGGGGAAATCCCCAGATTCCCAGTTATTTGGATTCCCAAAATTTCCAGGTATTTGAGAAATTTCCAAAATAGCTAGCTGGACATTTGAGAAATTTCATCTAATCGAAAAACAAGCCACCCTCAGATTCTCCAAGCAGATTCCCGGGAATTTGAGGAAGTTCCCAGGTATTGGGATTCCACAAATGTCTGGATAATTGGGAATTTGAAAAATTTCCTTCAATCAAAAAATAAACCACCCTAAGATTCTCTGAGAAATTTGGGAAATTCCTCAGATTCCTAGGTATTTCAGGAATTCCCGAGATTCCTTAGGGCATTTGAGGGTGGCATATTTTTAAAATTGGAAATGTCCCAAATTACCTGTCATTTGGGAAATTTCCAAAACTTGTAGGTTATGCTAAGAGGGAATTTTGTTTCACACCTTTCTCTAATTTTTCAGTATTGTTCAGAATTTTATTTTGAAGATATATTTTTATATTAATGTAATATTGTTTAGCAAGTGAACAAACTTCTGGACTCTGCTTTAATGAACTGTCAGGTAAAAAATAATAATGATAAATAATAGTGATAATTATAGAAATTATATTATTACCGATTTTTTAATTAATTTACCTTTTTTTCGTAATGAGAATTTTTAAAAAGTCAGTTTTCAGTTTTTGAATTTTTTTCATTGTCTATATCATTCGTCCTTTCAACAGTTTAACTATTTTTATCACTGTTTTTTGGTTCTCAGTGACATAAAGTTTTAGGACAGAAATTTTATCTAAATTAAATCTAAAAAGGCGTGAACCTTCTCGATAAAGAGAAAATTTCTGCCCAAAAACTTTGTAACATTGCGAACCAAAATAATAGTGTTATAAAAAGTTATTATTTCTATATCTAATGTTACTTTTACATATTTTGTTCTTACATCATACGTCATTTAAATTCACATGTCTTCTTAAACTTGAGAGATTTTTTAACAAATGATACTGTTTTTGATAGTTTGATTGATTTATTGTTAGTGTATCGAATTATTGATTTATTGTTAGTTTATCGAATTATTGATTTATTGTTAGTTTATCGAATGTCAATTGATTAATTTATCGAGGATCACATAGATTAATGTTGGATAGTTTAACGGATTAATTGGTTGATTGAGTGCTGGTTGATTGAGTGTTGGTTGACTGAGTGTTTGGCTGATTGAGTGTTGGTTGATTGAGTGCTGGTTGATCGAGTGTTGGTTGATATAGTGTTTGGTTGATTCATTTTTTGAAGAATTGAAGAATTGATCAATCGTTTGATTAATTAAGTTGTTGATTGTTTAATCGACTGACATGTTGGTTGTTTGATTAGTTGATAGATTAGTGGATTAATTTATAAATAGATAAATAGTTTGATTGATTGATTGTCAGATTACTATCCCTGAGAACAAGGCTGAGAAGCAGAATCTGATGTTGAAGATCATTCAAGAGATCAACGACAGGATCTCAAACATTTCCCTCACCATCAGGTTCAAACTTTAAAGGGACTGATGACGTAGTTTCAAGTGAGCCTCCATTCAAAGAAAAGCAAGTGCAGATATCTTATCAATATTGTTGCGGATATCGTCGCTATTCTAGCTTTAACTTTTTTTTTAATTCTGACGATGTCCTCCTTAGTTTCTTTGGCAGAAATCCGCTGATCACTTTTATAAATAAACTTTTAAAATAATCAATTTTTAAAGTGTAACACCTGGACGAATCATTCAATCTTGATCAAATTGAAATACACTTGATATAGTCAAGACTTCAGTTGACTTGATTTGTGTCTTTGAGAGCAAATAGTTTATTTTCAAATCCAAGGAACTTAATTAAACTAATTAGTATTGTAAAAAAGATTATGATACAGTGGTCGGCGTTTTCATTAATGCAATGAAGACGACTTTTCTATTTAAGTTTTGATTTCTAACAAGCTTTTTTAAAACTGCAAGTTTACAAGTAAACAAAGAGAATTGCTGTTAATTGTCAGCTTCTCTGTTTCTATGTTCATGTGTATTCATGCTTTTTGAAAGCTCAAGAAATCAAAATTTAAATCTGAAATCGTGTTTATTGTAATGATATATACAACGACGACTGTAGGAAAGGAGTTGATGAGGATGACGGGACCAACTACTTCATGCTGGTCAACCTTTCTCACAGGAGATGTGGAGATTCAGACGAGCTAGCGAAAAGGGTAAATCATTAGTAAATGATAAATAAAGTATAATTAATAGATAATTGGAATATTAGATAGTTGATTAACTTAAGAACCTGACTCTTAGTATATTTCAATGCAATGAAAACGACTTTCTTTGATTTTAACAAAGCTCTCAGAAAAATCACATTAAACTATATAATTTTGAATGGAAAAAAAGTATAATAAGGGTTTTTTAGTGTTATAAATAAGGGGTCTATAAACCTAAAAACATATTGCAGAATTGAGATGGGATATGAAGTTCTTTATGTCGACTTAGTATCCTGTGCAGTTGTCAAGGATAAATATCCTTACTTAACTATGTTTTCAAGTCAATCAAGGAATAAAAATTCATTCTTTAAAAAGTGAATATTTGAAAATTGTCTTTTTACATATCAAAAACTAAGTTCGTTTCCTTTTTTACATGTAACTGCTTTCTTTTCTTGTCGTTTTTAAGCAGTTTTTAAAAATTTTTATTTTGATGGTTATCATATCATTAGAACTGACGAGGGTCAACCCAACCCGAAGTATACATTTTTTTAATTTGGAACTAACATCTACTTTAATAACTTTATTAGGTTTAGTCCTTCATCATCACAGAATTTTAAGATACTTTTGTTTTAACAGTTACAGGTTCAGTGGAGCGCTCATGAACTGGAATACTTCAGACTTATTGCAAAAGAGATTCTGGAAGACGACAATAAATCTGTTTCTAGCAGGTGATTTTCTACTACGTTTATTCAAAACCATCGACAATTCACGATACTATATTAAAACTTGTATCATCTATTTTGTTTAAGTAGAGAAGTCTATCAACAGGGTGAATTTATTTACCAAGGGGTTTTTATATTTTTTTCATAGATCTTTTTTTTTCCCAGCCAAAATCTTGATAAAAAAAATTTGGTTAGTTATATTGGCACTCACAGAGCGTCAAAACAAATCGGGTAAAATTGATTTATTTGTTTGTTAAATTATCGAAAATGGGATTTCAATCTAGAATTTGTTCATTTTCTCAACTTTTGTGAGGAAAAAATCTTTTTTGTCGGGAAAATATTTCTAACAGCTCAAGGGAAATTATTTAGATATTTTTGTATAATATCGTTATATTTTAGTTCCTGGACGGGAAGTGGTTTAAAATGGTGGACGCTGGAAGATTAACTCTAGGAGTTAAATTTGTTGGGGAGCTAGAGGATTGGATTAATGAGGTGAGGGAGGGTCACCTGTAGGATTGGATTAATGAGATGAGGGAGGATCACCTGTTGGATTGGGTTAATGAGATGAGGGAGAGTCACCTGTAGGATTGGGTTAATGAGATGAGGGAGGATCACCTGTAGGATTGGGTTAATGAGATGAGGGAGGATCACCTGTAGGATTGGGTTAATGAGATGAGGGAGGATCACCTGTAGGATTGGGTTAATGAGATGAGGGAGGGTCACCGGCCTGTAGGATTGGATTAATGAGTCTCCAATTTACATTAATCTCCCTCCCCCTGTCTCAGAAGCAATATGAAGGGAATTGTCAGAATAAACGCCTTTTTAAGAAACACAATAATATCTTCCTTATTATTAATCAGATAATGGTTCAAAGGGCTCTGTTGTGAATCGGACATTCCCCTCTTTTAAAAATTATATATCACTTGAAATTAAAATGACAAGCCCTTCATAAAACTCTTCTTGACCCTCACACCCCCTCGCCCCCCCCCCATCGCGGTCTGAAAAAACTTCCCGTAATTATACTATTCCAGGTTAAGACAATTAAGATAGATAGATAGTCACGAGAGGTTGCTTTTTCTCAGAAGGGGGGAGGGTCCATAGAAATTTAATGAGAAATTACCAGAATTTCTACAAAGGCGTTGGGAGGTGAGGTGTCGAAGTGTAAGATGTGCAGGAAGATTGCTATCAGAGGACTTGAGTGTCAGTGTCAACTAATTTATCACAGGTATTCAGACTTAAAGGGAGTGTACGCGTAATTTCAAGTCATTCTTTATGCAATGATGGCAATGCCCGGTTTTCAACGGTACCCATAAACCTTAATATATACAAAAATGTGGAAGATAACGTCGTTTTTCTAACTCGACAAGCATTTTTTACCGTCCATTGCTTTCTATAAGCAAGAAATGCGCAAATCATTTTTGAGTGAAACTGCAAATGAAAATAAATAGTTTGAATAAACAAAAACATTGATATTCAATTCATACTGTTTAGACCACGTTTTTGCAACCTGACGGCATAGACCTATAATATTTCAACTAATATTCTTCTAAATCGGTGGTCTTCAGTTTTAGATAACAAAGGTTTACTTATATAAGGTTGCAAACATTTACTTATAATGTTGCAAACATTTAGCCATTATTAATATCATTATAATTATNTCAGTACAGCTGTCAACAGTTTTATGTGCCAGACAAAGATATCAATAATAGTGATAATAAAATTATTATCTATCTTACAGTGAAATAAGTGCAATTTTTTGCTTAACACTTGTCATATTTGACACTTGTGACGTCATGTTTAATTGGACCATTTCTGTTGCCACCTATTGAGGCAACAACCCAACTTAAATCCATATTTACTAATACTATTCTTGGTTCCATTTTTTATATTACTTTTCCACTCTGAAGCCCTGTATTTTCCATTCCTATTTACATTAAACTTCTTTTCCCATATTTATCCTAAAACACACCTCATTCATTCTCCATAGTCCATATACCTAAGACTGACGAACACCAGCGTGCGTCCTAATTATCTAACTATCTTACGTAAGATATTTAGCGGTCAAACTAGGATGGACCTTCTTTATTCAAGAAACTTACTCAGCCCGTTCTCTCCCTAATAATGTATAAACAATGGCCTTACTTTGGAGGACGATAGTTTAGCCGCCAAATGTCCCAGTCTCACGCTAAATTCTTTTCTGGTAGATAGATAATTCATATGACCACAGTACGACCGCATTTAATTGACGTCATGTGGTCGACCACTGTAATGTTGTACAGAATGGCCACTGAGCCCGTTCTCTCCATAGAAAGTGGTCGTGCAGTTCACTTACTTTGGGGGAAGATATGTTGGCCGCTAGATGTCTCATGCTAAATTCTTATCTGATAGATAAAAAGAAGCACATTTGACGACCAATATAGGAGACGTCAAGTTGTCGACAAATGTAGTTTATGGAAGGAACGACCTCTAGCTAATAAAATATAAGAAATAAGACGACAACATTTGAAACATTCTCAATGCAGTAATGCACCTGGTTATTTTAACTATTGTTTTCTAATTTTGACTAATTGAACAGATTTTTCACTTTTTGAGATTTTTCCTAGTCTGAAAATCCAAACAATTTTACAGGGGTGTTTATTGAATTACATCGAGGGGAAATGAGTTTTCTCTGTGTTGATAAAATGGCTGGATAATAAATTGAACTTAATGACTATATTCAAAAAATATATACAGGCGATTAACTTTTTCACTTGCTATGAAAAAAAATAAAAAACTCCTAAACTCTGACACAATGAAATTGCTTTATTACTCTCATTTTGAATTTAGTTCAACATTTCTTATGCTAACTTCAAACAAACATATTGATAAGATGAATCATTGCAAAAGAAAGCTATTGGTCTATTGATGTGGTTAATTCGATTAAGTCACACAGCGGAAGCTTTTGAGCTTCAAACATACTCCTCTTCAGTAAATTAGAAATTTTTAATGATATAAAATTTGTATTTCAATTTAAAGGATTTCAATTACCCCCAACATTTAAAAAAGATTTCACAATGTCAAAAAATATCAAAAACTCAAATCATAGAAACAGAAATGATTTTTATATCCCTAGAGGTAAATCTACAAAACTGCTTCCTCCTCACAATTTGCCTAAAATATGAAAATAAACGACACTTTTCTAAACTTTCAAGTATTAATCTTATTTCGAATTTTTAGCAGAATTTAATTGAAGGTTTGTAAGCAGAACAAATGTATTAATTCTAACAAATGCTATGTTTCAAAAGAATCGAAGAAAGCAAAGACGATTTTTCAAAGAAAAGACTAAAAAGATTAAAAAGAGTAGAAGATATAATCAAACCTAAAGGATGTCAAAAATCGGCGCGAATTGAAAAGATGCTGAAAAATGCCCGTTTTGCGTAAAACACGTACATTTTCCATTAAGTCTGATTTTTTTTTTAAAATAACAAATAAATAAAAATAATTTTATTTCTAAAAGTTGTTAGTTCATCGTCGAACTTTTATTTCTTTTTTTATATTTTTTTAGAATTGGGGGAAATATTCCCGCAACCTCTATTTTTGGAGCTTTTCAAATATTTTCTCCTATAAAAATATTTTTTTTCCCCAATTCAGCGAGCAAAAGAAAAACCTGAAGTTAATTTCCAGTAGAAAATATATGTTTAAAGTCAGATTTAGTTATTTTCTCCTTTAAGACGTAACAATTAGAAGTAAAATTAGCAGCGATCGAATCCGACTTCTTTTAGGATTCAGGGTGATCCCCCTTTCATGTTTCGCGAACACCCCCTTTACTATAGTTTTGATTTTGTAGGGATGTGACGAGGTGGTGGACACTTCTGTAACAGTTTATCCTCAAGAGGTTAATTTTTATACTTAGATATGAATTTATTAGCGTAAAGTGAGACCCATCAAACTGTGGAATAATAGGCCGTCAAATTTTACTATTCTTTAAATTAAGCAGTGACGTCATATGAGGATTTATAGTGTCCATTGTTAGAGTGCCGTTATATGAGGATTTAGAACCGTTAATTGCTATAAGGGTCGTCTTTTCCTACATTGGAGCGCATCCAGAGTATCTAATCTTATAAAACAACCTTGGGTTTTTCAAAATCCTTTTTCGTAATTTGAAGAAATAAGTAATATAATTAATCAGACTGGAGCGCCGAAAAATCAGAAGAGGAAAAGAGAGGAAAACTTATCTGAAGGCAGGGTTTTATATATTGAAATCATTTAAATCTACTTCAACAATTTTTGTCGTGTGTAAAGTTTAAGAGGAAGTATTTTTTAAACTGGGGGGGGGGGGGCACATTTTTAATCTTTTTATTCTTAAAAATATATATCCCTGAGCAAAGGTGAGACTGAAACTAGTGAATCAGAATCCGATGATACTGATGCTAAACCTGAATATAATCTGTACAAAGAAGCTGGTTCCACTGAGTCAGAGGAAGAGGAGGAGGAAGACGACAACTAGAACTCATAATAGGGCGAAGGCATTTTAATGTGATAAGTAGTATGTACAAATATTTTTGTTTTTACCAGTTTTTTATCAATACCAGAAATACAGAAATAAAAAGAAAAATTATTGTGAGTGCGAAGTCTAAAAATAAATCGGTGGTTATTAGGAAATATCAAAGCCCAGTGTTAGAACGGATAAAGTTCAAAATGAAAAAGCCAAGAAATATATATTCAGGGTTATTTTGGCATTCCAAGGTGCAATGAACAAGAGATGGGCATCTTTTTTTTGAACGAACAACATTTTTTGTGAACATAGGAATCGTATAGAAAAAAAACATCAATTGACGAACGACTTTGATTGGTCTTGGAAATTTAAAAACTAACCATTTAAATCGTTAGAACCAGCTCATGATCGAAATCGATCATGTTCATGATCGATTTTTTTTAATGAATGAAAGAATTTTCCAAAAGATTTTCCCGCATTTTTTGAGTGAGTGAATATCTTAAGCGCCCAAAATAGCAAATTACTCTTAAAATATGTGAAAAATATTGCCACCTTAGAACTGTACTTTCAAATTTTTGTTAATTCATCTCGGGCACAAAAAATATTTACATATAAAAGGTTAGCAAGTAATTTAGAGTCAAGGATATCTCATCTTAGAAGAAATAACTGTTTCATCAAATACTATCATTTAGGGGTGTGCATTGGGCAATTTTGTGAAATTGTTCTGAAATCCGTTAACAGAATCATTTTTTTCTTATTAAAATGCATTTTTTTTACAAAAAGTGGCCCCCTCAGATTAGGTTTAAAAATAAAATATGTAAAAAATTTCTCCAACAGAAGTGAAAATCAAATTTTTAAAAGCCTTTGAAATGGGTAACAATAAAATCTATGTGAAAACTGGAGTAATATAAAGTGTTGAAAAAATTAAAAAGTTGGGCGAGCTATGGTCAAAAATGTTTTTCTCTTTCTACATTTTTTCATAACTCAAAAAATGTATTTTTGAACATTAAATCGGTCAATTCGAATTATTTTTTTATTTAGTAATTTAATATAAATTCGGGAAAACAACCCAGCTTAATAAATACCCATGTTTTGAATATCTGACTAACATTTTTTTTTGTATTAATGGTTTTTATCATTACAACCCACTTCAGGGAGCCATGTTTGATTTTTGTAAACATTTTATTTTAAAACATGTAAAAAAGAATTCCAAGTAGTAAAATTGTACACCCCTCCGTTCGTTTTGATGTCACTGTAATGTTACTAAAACTATGGGTTTCAATGCTGTAATAATTATAAACTTAATTTTAAGATAGCAAAGAATCATATTCAATTATAGCGTTGGTTAAAAACTTAAAATCTACAGTTAACTTTTGGGGGGATCTTAAAACGAGGGGAGGAAGGCCAACCAAATCAATTTCTCTTCCGAGCCACATTCTCCTCAATTTCGCGTCTGAGCCACCTCGAAATCCTCGTCCTTTCAATAATATAAGTGTCTAATTCTTCCAGATAAAACTATTTTTTAATAATTAAGCCACGTTAGGGCAAAAATCAAATTTTTGTAAATCGAAAAGAAAAGGTTCGATTGAATTACAGATATCAAATTTAATCTATATATAAATTCGGCTTGTCTGTCTGGGTGTCTTTCTGTTTGTTTGTGTCCAATAAACGGCTGAACCGATCGGGCCCAAATTTTGTTTAGGGCATCTCCATGGAAGGTTTGCGGCCATAGAGAATCGAATAAAAAGAGAGAAATTCTTGAAAATCCGCGAATTTTTTTTTTTTAATCCGCAAAATCTTTTTCTTCTTTGTTTTAACATGTAAACAAAAAACATGTTTACAATTTAAATAGAAGTCTAGTCTATATATAAATTTGGCTTGCCTGTCTGTTTGTTTGTATCCAATAAACGTCAAAACGGCTGAACCGATCGGGCCAAAATTTTTTGTGGGACATCACGTGACCACAGGGAAGTTTTATGAATGATAAAAAATTTTAGAAAATGTGTTTTAAAGGTTTTTAATTTTGTAAAAAAAAAGTTCTTGAAAATCCGCGAATTTTTTTTAAACATCCACAAAATCTTTTTCTTTGTTCTAAAATGTCAACCAAAAGAACTGCATGTTCACAATTTAAATAGAAGAAGCGCACTAAAAGCTTAGAAAGAAGGCCGGGCGCGAAGCGACTTTAATTTCTAGTGTTTTTAAGAATGTTCACCTTCTTTACGCGCATTTTCAGATATTCCTGGTGTAGAATGCCCACTTGTTTATGTTTATGCCCACTTCCACTAAACCCCACTATTTCTTAGGTCAGAGCATTGCAAATCAGTGCAGTACACAAAGCTTAGTTGAAGGTGCTTTATATATGTTTTTAATCAGCTTAAAAAGTTACTTTTTTTCCATTATAAGGCTGAAAAAGCCTCTTCTATATAGATAGCTTTTTGAACTTTTCATCGACAAGATTAAAATGAAATCTTAAATTATTCAAACATGAATCTTATTTTTTAAGAGTTACTGATAGGAACAAAATTATAAAATCAAACTGTAGAGAAGCTGAAATGGTTGCAAAGTTGTTTCAGACAATTTGCAAATATTAACACTTCTCCTTTTCTCATGATAGAGAAAAGTGGTTCAACCACATTAATGCGGCTCAACTACAATATAATTAATCAGACTGGAGCGCCGAAAAATCAATAATAATAATATTAATAATGATAATAAAAATGACACTCATTAAAAGAAACTAAGAAAATAACAATACCACTTATTATAACAGCTATACTAATAATATACCTATATACCTCCTAATGTGCCTGGAAAAGGGAGAGTATGGGTTTAATAGAATGTTGCCATCCTATGACAAATGGTTCCGTCAAAATGTGTAGATTTCTCCACATCTGGGATAAATGAGAGGTTAGTTTGACCCATCTCTCCCTTCCTTGGGTCACAGGTTTCATCTTCCGTCTTATCCCACTTCCGGGCTCTAGAGAAAAAAATACAGGGTCTCAAAAAGTACATAAATACCATGGCTGTCTCTTAAAATATGCAAAAACGGGGTATCAAAAATTACGAAAATACAGGGTTTCTCTAAAAATATGGAAATGCGAGCGTCTATAAACGTACGAAAATACCATGGGTTTCTCTAAAAGTAAGTAAATACAGGGTGTCTCCAAAAGTACGAAAATGCAGGTTGTCTCTAAAAATACGGAAATGCAAGGTGCCTCAAAAAGTACGGAAATACAGGGTGTATATAATAGTACGTAACTATCATGGGTGTTTCAAAAAGTACATAAGTACCATGGGTGTTTCAAAAAGTACAGAAATGCCATGGGTGTCTCTAAAAATACATAAATACCATGGGTGTCTCCAAAAGTACATAAATACCATGGGTGTCTCTAAAAGTACATAAATACCATGGGTGTCTCAAAAAGTACATAAATGCCATGGGTGTCTCAAGAAGTGCATAAATGCCATGGGTGTCTCTAAAAGTACATAAATACCATGGGTGTCTCAAAAAGTACATAAATACTATGGGTAAACCAAAAAGTACATAAACATCATGGGTGTCCCAAAAAGTACATAAATACCATGGGTGTCTATAAAAGTACATAAATACCATGGGTGTCTCTAAAAGTACATAAATACCATGGGTGTCTATAAAAGTACATAAATACCATGGGTGTCTCTAAAAGTACATAAATACCATGGGTGTCTATAAAAGGACATAAATACCATGGGTGTCTATAAAAGTACTGTCTAAAACAAAATTCGGTTTGAAACTGAGGCTTTGGTTTCAAATTTCTAGAAACTCCCTGTATTATGGGTAAGTGAAAATTAAACGATTTAATTTTTTTCCATCAAATTTTGCACAGGAGGTGAGTGGACTTAGAAAATGGTTAAAAAGCCGGTTTTAACACCCAGTTATGACACGACTATTGCAGAGTTTACTCTTCTTTAACAACTAGTTTTTGGGGTCTTAACATTTGTAGAGATTTTGATTTAAGAGGTTCAAAAAAATGGAGAATGTAAACAAACTGCAAAAATTTATATTTCATTTCATACTGGGTCTGATTTAGAAAAGTGGAAATTGCTGTTGAATGGAAGAACTAAATACACCATCAAACATTTTTCAAATTCTCACACTTTAAAGATGACCTGGCGATCCATATATATATATATATATATATATATATATATATATATACGG